TCTTTATTTTAATATTGTCTAATTTAAAAAGAAAATATTTTAGATAATAACAACATTTGGGGGGGGGGGGAGGGGAGCATGAAAACCATTTCTGTTCCAAATATTGCTGATATGAGAACTTATGGGAAACAGCTCCTTTTATGAATAATTATTATTATTGTGTTTAAGAAATGGGCAAGATGCCTAGAAATTGAATGAAAGAATGAGCTATTAAATTGAAATATTAAATGAAATAACTGAATTTAAAGTAATCATGTAAACCCTGCAGAAAATGTTGGGAGCTGTAGCTGATTGAACATATTTTCATCATCTGTTTTGTATGCTTAAATACAATTGCTTGATGTAAGTAAATACTTGATTGATATTCTGAATACTTTAAAATCTGCATATGCATCACAGAATACTGAACAATTAAAACTTAATTTCAGTGTAGTTTGATTACATGTAAATTATTTCAATATTCATTTTTTCCAGTTCTGTTTGCTCCGTGCATATTTAATATTCACTTTTTGAATGCGTATCACCCTTTATTGGACTGTGAGATGAGGAGGACTCTGAAATTTCTTCCATTAAAAAGGATTGCCTTATAAATATTATTTGTGCCTCAGCTCTTCCCCTGCAGATTATTTTCTAAATGTTGTGTACCCTTATTGAAGACAAGGAAAAAAACTGCTGCAGCCCTCCTTTATCAGCCCAGCACAAGGAATATGCTTACATGGTCGATGGGCATGTCTAAGAAGGCTTGTTGGTTGTAACTAGTCCCTAAAGCAATGTTTCCATCTTTTCGGCGCTATATTTCTCTCTTGCTTGCGTGAGCTCTCTCCCTCTTCCCTTCTTCCTCCCTCCACATGATTTTTTTTTTTTTTTCCTGGTTCCTGGATTTTTTATGAGGTGTTTTAATATTACGGATAAATATTGCAAATATTTTTAAGTTGACTGCTTGCAGCCTGGAAAATGTCTCTGTCTTTAAGTACCACATTCAGTGTAGGCGTTGTGGAATACAGGTGACAAAATTCTGTCTTTTGATCTATTTGTAGAACCTCTTGTAAAAATTGAAGAGACTTCTTTTCCTTTCTCCCCAGGCCCAAATCCATGCACGTGGTTTTGACCTACAGTATTTAAAATCACCGTATTTCTGAACATCCAGCAGGACGAAACCCTGGGCATTTGATTCTGGTTTTATTTATGCTGGTGAAAACCAACAATAGCCTCTCTGAAGTTAATAGATAAAATTCTAATTTTTTTTAATTTGTTACATATTTTATTGAAAAATGAAGTGCTTTCCTGGCATCTTTTCAGTTAAGTCACATTCTCCAAATGGAAGCAGGCAGCAGGTCTGCCACTCCGCCGTGGCGGGCAGGTCTGGGCTCTTCTCTGCCTCGACCGTTTTTGACCTGCCTGACCCTCGTCGTTATCACTCACACTTCCCCTTCGTTTCCTCGTCCGTACAACAGATGTACTAATAGCTGTCTTTTTAAATTTTTGTAGGATACGTAGAAAGGTTGCAGAAGTGCATATAGTAACGGTATTTTTTTATTATGTGAGAATTTGAACTTAGTGTTGTATGTGCTAAACAGCTTGCTGGGAAATGTTTTCCTGCCTGTCCTATATAGTTAATCGCAGTTTGAGAGTTTTAATCTTGAAGGTCATATTTCTGTTGGCTGTCGCTTTGACCAAACAAGTGGCTGAACTTCATGGTTTACAGGCAGATTTCTTATCTCTCTTTTTCAAGAGACGTATAAGTCTTGATTGCTGGAGTTATTGTGAAGCGAGCAGTAAGAAGGTGGAGGGAGGGGTGGGAAGACACTCACTCCAAGACCAGCACCCTGTAGATGCCATTTTAGAAAGCAAATACTGTACCTTGCAATTGCAGCACGAGAGCATCAGGGAGGGTGTTTTGCTTGGGTTTTGTTTGTTTGAGGAGCTGATAAACTCTAAGTGAAGTGTGCTAGCGATAGCAAGAGGTCTTCCCGTGGCAAAACATGCTTATAAACCAGGCGTTATTAGCTTGAGGTCTCTCTCGTGGTGTACAGGACTCTCTCCACTTGTTCCTGTAGAATGAAAACAGCACAACTTCCATGCCAAAGAGACTCAATAAGTACCTTCTAGTAAAGCTAGTTTAAAAAACCCTGGACATTCTTGACTGATCTAGTACTGTTTGCCTAAGTAATGCAAACTTGTCCCTTTTGTTTGAAACCTCTACCATATTTTAAAGCAATTCCATTTATAATAATTTGTGAAGTGTCTGTGATTGTTATATCCAGCTCTCTTCGTTTGTGAAGAGCATTTCTTGGATAGTCTTTTTTTTTTTCCCCTCCTTGTTTTCTTCCTCAGTACAGATCTGAAAATAATGAGGTAACTTCACAGTTTTATGAATAAGGGCCGTAATGAGACTGAAGTGTGTATGTTGATTAAAGGAAAAAAAATTTGAAATTTCTGTGAAACAGCAGAGAACTGACTGCTTAAGGCCATGACTGCATTCTGCAGGTCAATCAAATGAAAAAGTTACTTTACATTTTTTGGTTGCAGGCGTTTTTGCCTTGGCTAAAGCAAATGTCATTCAAATAGTCTGTATAGTTATAACTTTGGAAAAACAAAATAATGATGCAGACATGCTTTTTAGCTAGTCATATAGCCGGTTTCTGTTTGGTTTCCAGTTTCCCCTCTAAGTACTAAGAATGTATATTTAATCCATAATTGAAAAGAAAAATGTGCCGGAAAAAGATATACATGATAGCTATTCAAGATACACATATTTTAACATGTACTTATTTGTCTTAATTAAAGCATAGCTTCAGAAGCAGCATTACAACACCGTCTATTTTAATGGAAAATCCTTCGTAGAAAGCATGTTGGAAAGCTTCAGATACATAGATGTGCATGATAAAACGGTGGTGCACTGCCTGTTCCCCAGTGATCAAGAGGTTAACCTTAATTCATCTCTTCCCCTCCCTTAAACAGGTTCCGTGAGGAGGGCTGCAAATTACTGCTCGGAGGACACAGCAGGGAGATTAGCTGTAGGGAGGGAAGGGAGGACTCCCCGCTCCGGCTCCTAGGAACCTCACCTGGAGAGAGCATTTCCTTTTCTACTTAAGCTAACCTATTATGCCTTCTTGTCGCGAATGTTATTCCTTGAGGAAAAGTCCTCGCCGGCTCTTATCGCGCAATCTGCTGAATCATTCCAGGTGTGCGGTAGAAGAGACGAGAGCAATAAGGCTGTAGCAAGAGGGGGGCATAAAACCCCGTAGGCTTTGGCCGGAGACGGGAATCCCGGTGTGGTACTGGGATCGTGTGGGGCTCCTTCACCCACCGAGGGGAAGGAGGATTCCCCTGTTTCCCTCTTGTTCACACTGGCCTGAGGAAGAGCTACAACATTGCCCCTTGTTTCCTAAGATGCCCTCAAGGTACAGAACTGTATACATACTGCTGTCCATACGATGCTGTCTGACAGTATTCGCGGGGCAAACGCAGACCACACCTTTCTGACACGGAGAAATTCCAATGCTGCCTTTTCCCCCTGGGACAAAAAAAGTCTTCTCCTTCCCAAACTTCAAGCATCTATGACTGATCTGTTGTTGGAATTGTTAACAGATGAAAAGGGGGAAACCTCACCAGTAATGGGAAAAATACAGAAACCATTCTATATGGAATCAGTCTTCTACTTTGCAACTGAAATAAAATTGGGGTATTTTGTTGTTTTGCATACCTAAAAATAATCACCAAATCTGGTTTTGTAGGTGTTTTTAAACACTTTAAAACGTGTTAGAAGAAAATGTGTGCAGATAGAATCACTTTCTCATGGTGTACAGCATTATTTTATGGTTGGACTTGATGATCTTTGAGGTCTCTTCCAACCGTAATGATTCTATGATTATCACATAGCGGTTATCTACATCCAGTATGAGAGAGGCATTAGCCCAATGCAGAATTTCCCATTGGGATTAGCCTTTGCCAGTGCAATGTTGTATATGTTCTCAGAAAGCTGCTGATGGATGGCTTGTTTCCTCTTGCTTCTGTGGAATTCCCAAGGATTGCAAGCAAGAGGATATATACAGCCTTCCACAGTATCTCCATCTCGTGTAGGTATTTGCTGTAATGGCCAGGAGATGGTGTATGGTCTCTGGGTCAGAAGAAGGTGCCCGTCTGTGTCTTTACAAATGGAAGGAGCTGTTTGTTGTTCAGCAAGCCCTCAGCCCCCCGCAGTGATGGGCTCGGTATGCCACGGTACAGCCTCCTGGGTTAACGGTAAAGGTGAGGTGCCGCATCCACGCTGCTCCCTTCCTACTCTGCTGCATCTCTAGGTGATACTCAGGTGGTGCCTTCTAGAGCACGTTTAGAGGTAATTTTTGCTTGTGAATGTTACTCTTTTGCCCCTTGTTTTACCTCATTGACCCAGTCTTCTTCACCACAGGATCTTCGGAAAACTCTCAGGAGTCTGTGCTAATACTGGGCTGTGGGAGTTAAGAGGCAAAGCATTGTCATCCCCTACCTTTTTCGGTCCCTGGGGACTCATGACGGTTTAGCATGACTCAACTTCAGAGAACTGTACTGGGGGGCCTGTGAGGACAAAACACAAGGCAAACGTCTACAAGGACCTCTGAAGTCTTGTGAGATTTGGGATTAGTCTTTTCTGTAGGGGATTTTGAGGTTCCTACCAATGTTATTGGGGCTAGCATTTATCTATGTTGTGGCTGGTATCTTTCAAAGGAGCGATTTGTTATGATCTACAGTACCTTCAGCTCCCATCAGGTTCAGGTAGATGCGATGGGACTCAACACGGAACGTAACACTTGCTGAAGGTTTTAAACAACGAAGAAGGTTAAGAGTAGTCGCTGCCCTACTTCATAGTTCTGCAATCTAAGTATGACCGTATCACGTTTCCCCATGAAGGTTTGGCATCGCTTCTGATGAGAATTGAAGGACTCCACCTGCCCATTAACAAAACTTGATGCAGCTCTTAAATTGTCTTCAGCAAGTGACGTGTTTCCTTTCTCTTGCAGGTATCAGAGATTTGAGAAAGCGTTTCTGCTAGCTGTTGACATCGGTGCTCGGGACCTGTTTATGGTGAGTCATTTCTGGAGACAGAGCCTGGTGTCAGGACAGTAGTTGGCAGCTTTTGCGCACATTTAAATGGATCCGTGACTTTTGCAGTCTTAGAGTAGTTCTGTCTTCAGTATGTGTCTACCTGGTTTGCCCTTTGCCATCATGAATCTGTTCAATAGGAACTGAGTATCTTTAGAGTCATTGACATTTTCCGTAGCGTGGCCTAAAGGCTATTCTTTATTTTCCAGGAATTAACATAAATGTTTTTGAACTTTCCCCTTCTTCATCTATCCCGATGTGAGTGAATGTCATCTTTCACTCTAATAAGCTTACACATTTCTAATCCATTCCTTTAAGAAGTACAACTGCTGAGTCCTGGACAGAAGAGCTGGCCATATCCTGGGGATCCTGAATGCTCTTAGTTTGTCTCTTAGGGTTTTGTGAAAAGTGACAAATTATGAACGCTTCTACAGGTACTTTTAAAACAACAAAGCTCAGCAGCATCAACACAAGGGTTTTTACATTTCATGCACTCTCTGCCCCCTCCCATTTAATTAGCTACAAAAGTAAAATTAACCAGCTCTTAAAAGGTCCTGTGTGAGCTCTGCAGGAGGCTCTTGTTTTATGAGATCTTGCACCACAATGTCACAGTGAGGTCAGATGGACAAAGCCAATCGTGCTTTCCTCGTCTCTCAGCATGTTGCTGCTCCACAGCTGATTTCATTGTTTTCAAAGAAACAATAGGAAAGGGGCTTGTTGAAAAAAAGGCCCTTTGAATGATTCGTTTGCTTGACTCTTTTGCATAATGAAGACATTCTGTTGTTTAAATTAAGCTTTGACACTAGATGTTAATATCATTTATCCCATTAAGTCACTTGCCCTGCTAGTTTGATCTTGATATTTAAATTGTATGTTAAATTACACAATTAAATCCTGCTTTCATGGGTTATGAAAATTCCCTTCTAATTATATAAAAAGTTGTGTGAACCTTTTGATGTTTTTTTCACGGCTCTAATCATCTGGCTTGTTCCATCTAATTAGAAAGATGTGAATACTGCGATAAACTTTTCTAAGTATGCTTCAAAAGAATGTGATGGAAATGTCAGGCTTTTAGGAAATTCATTACATGTTTTATGTTTACTCTCCTCGATTTTTCCTCTCTTTAGCTCATCTTTTTCCTTTTCTCTTTATTAAATGTAACTTCTCCAGTACAAATTTTATACCTAATCAAGCTAAGCGCTGCTGCAGCCAGATATAAGATTCAGACTGTAACACGTCTGTAGCAGGTTACAGCTTTTTTGGGGGGGGGTCTCTCCCACCGTACAGATCATAAATTCTCCCGGAGTAATTTCAGCCCTTCTGGCAGAACAAATGACCCAGCATTTGGCCTGCCATCTCAAGGGCCCTCTCTCGTATGGCAGAGAGCAGTTCCTACGTGATCTTTTCCTCATCCCTCCGCTGACAGCAGGGCCGAGGGAGCATCTCAGGCCCAGGGTGGGGAACACCAGCGTTGGGGCAAGGGATGGGTACAGAGCTGCTAACGAGAGAGAGGGACCGTCAGTACCTGGCTCCGCAAGCGGTAACGTGTCCTCCTCTCAACACAAAGGTTCTCCAGCTGTCTTCAAGAGGAGTTTCGATGTTCACGGAGAAATTAGCTCCATCCTTCCCTACTCTTCTTTGTTTTCCCTTTCCTCTCTCAACACCTACTCTCCATTTCCCATCTCACCAGTGCTTTTAAGCGTAAATATATATTTCCACATAGTTCTTTCTGGCTTACGTTACTGTGAGATCAAAACCAGTTCTGTATTGTCCTCGTTCTGCTTGCATTGCCTTTGAGGTTCCTCATTGTTTCCCCTAAATTATGCGACAGGCAGCACACACACCTGCCTCTTCGAATCCTCTGTTAACTCGCCGCCTCCTCTGGGGAAATGTCCTTTTGCTCATTCGTCTCCTAAGTAAGGTACTAATGAACAAACTTTGCAATAAGCTAACAGTGGCGCTGCTGCAAGGCTACTAAGGACAGGACTCAAGAAGTTTAAAGGTGCATAGGTCATAAAAAGTATTTATTTGTGCCACGGTAATTTCTAGGGAATTGGGCTTCATTGCGCTAAATACTGTGTGAAAATTGGATAACCTGTTCCCTGAAAGCTTACAGTCTTTCTAAGTATTAGTAAAACAATACTATTGCTAAGCAATGTTTGTGCATCCATCACTTCTGCTTAGCACTGAATAACTTGTATATATTGTTTATATAGGTCAAAATGCAATTAATAACATCCAACTTGACTTTACCTGTATTTAAAACATTTATAATTATGTGCAGTACGAATAACTAATATATAGGTTAATTATTTGTACTGTTGTTTTACAGACCAACCAAATCCATTTATAAAACCTCAGATGGCTCTAGGAGTCACGTCGCCTTATTCCCAGTTAATTTAATGGGATTTAAAGACTAAATGGTAGACTAAAGAAAGATATCTGATGACATAAGCAAAATGAGAAAGAAAAAAAATCTATTTATTAGAGGAGAACAGAGAAGGAACAAAAAAAGGAAAAGGATAGAGAGGAGCAGATATAACAGAGGCTGAGGAAGATCCAAACGTTGAATACCCGTCTTCGGAGACTTCTAAGGAGAATTTATCCCGAGCATCTCTTTCACCAAACAGGGCTCTGCAGCATTCCTGTTATTTGTTTTGAGATTGCAAAGAAGTTTGAAAGAATGCTATCTGAGGGCTAATTTCTTTCATAGAAATGAAAAGGGGGGAAAAAAAAAAGAGGCTTAAAAGTTAGTCCTGTAGCTATAGCGTCACTAATATGATGCCATAACAAGACACATGTACACTGCTGTGTCTCTCCATAAGCTTTACCCTCACGTCACATCTAAGTCCATCAATTATTATCATCTCCTACAAAGTTCAATAAAAAAATAAAACTGAAAAGGACATAATATCTTGATCAACAGCTACATTTATTGGACAGTGACTGATCCAATCTGTGACAGAAAAGATCAAGCAATAGAAGGGTTGTTAGCTTGAAATCCTTTTGTAGTATGCTCCAGCTCTCAGCTGCTGAAAATTCAAAAGGCCATCCCACGTACCAAAGGTAGCAAAAAATGCAAGGAAAAGACACTTTAATAAAACTGTCAGATCTTGGGCGATACACTGATGAGGAAAGTGCATGTTTCCAAGAAACGTTGGAATTTTGCCCAGAAATACCCTATAGACAAGTGCACATCAGTGTTTCAAATGCCTTCTGCTCACCGAGGGCCAGCTCTGTGAGTCACAAAGATGAGGGTAAAAAGGAAGTAGTCCAAAAAGTAATCAAACTGGTAAATGATAAAATACAGCTCTTTCAGTGAACTCCTGGTAAGCAGCTGGAAATTGTTTTTATTGTCACCATTGTTTTTGAGAGGGACGTGATCTTTAGACTGATAAGGTCTCAGATAATTGTGTGAAAAATTCTGTAATGAATATTCAGCTAATTTAATTCTTTTTTTTTCCTGTCCTTCTTTGAGGCACTTTGTAATCCACTGTTTCTTCTTTATCTTTTATTTATTTTCTAGTTTTATTCTACTCAGTTATAAATTCTTAGAAAATTCCGATTTTGCTAGCTTATTTAAATGAGGAACACCTAAATTTGATCTGCAATTGTCCAGTTGGGAGTTTTTATATCTGTAATCTTTACTTTCTAAAACTTGTTTCGAGATAGAGATAAGAGCTACTTTTTTTTTTTTTTTTAATTCTTTGTGACAGCAAGTTGAGGAACCACGAAGAAAGCCATTTACCAGCCTATTGCTATATCTTTATTTCTTACAAGGCCCCTGTTAGTTAGCAATGGATATGTAGCATCTTTACATTTCTTTACTCAAAACAGAAAACATGGGCAAAACCAAGACCTGAAAGCAACAGATGTTTTGATGCACACAGCATGCACAACCTCTTCACTGAAAGAACATTGTCATTTTCTGCAGTCGTTTCCATCCCCTCCCCAAGTTTATTATTTAAAATGGCATTGAAGTGTACAACACTTCTCTTAGTTTAAACTACAAAAAGACAGTCATTAAGCGTAGTCAGAATATATTTTAAATTAGTGAACACAATCTGCCTATACATTCAAATCTTTGTAAGTTCAGACTTGTTCAAGAGCCCTTAGGTTTTCTTTTGTTATCTAAATAAGCTGACAATATCTACTGTTTTAATCTTCGTAGAAGTCATACCTTGCTACTCAGGCCCTTCTCTCCTGACAGCCGTGTTAGACCTACAAAGAGAGGAAGTACAGAGTTCGCAACAAGTTCGTAACTCATTACTTTGCTCCAAGACACTTGCACTGTCTTTTGAGTCACACCTGTGTTTGTAATTAGAAAACGTTGCCGTCTCCTGCAGACTGTTGGGACCCTGCAAGTCAGTACCAGGTTTTCCTGTGTAATCAGTCTCGGTTTCCCTAACAGTCTCAGTTTGCTTCTTATTTTTGTTTTAATTTTTTTTAATCATTATTATTAAATGAGGGGGTAAGAAAAGCGGCATCTTTTTCTCCTAACACTACTACTTTCACTTTTTTCATCTCGCTTCTCTTTCTAGAGTAAGGTTGCTTTTTCCTGTAAGAGTTTCCATCATGTTGATGAAGGTGGCAATAAACTCACACTGAGAAGGACAGTTTCACCTGGAATATTCCGCATTAGTGAGAATGTAGTTGCTTTTATGGTATGCAGAGGTCAATATTTCCAGCAAATATTTTTCCTTTTCCCTTTAAATTCCTGCATGGAGATAGATTGCAAAACAATGGCCAGGAATAACTTAAATCTTTGGATACCAAATGGCATCTTCGGTAAAGAAGTGGGGGAAAAAACTGTTCTTGGGTTTCCCTCGCTTCCTGTGTCACAGTTCATGCACGGAGCAGCCTGTGGCCAAAGGAGAGGGGGGCTAATTGTCTCTTTATTAATGGTCACGGACAAAACTTTACTTCAAGGGCCAAAACCAAGGACAGCGAGACTGCAATTTGTCAGCAGAAATATTTCCAACTTTTTTGGAAAGCGCCTTGTAGTCCAAGAGTGGCTCCGGGCTCCCGGCGCCCGTGGCGGGGGTGAGGTGCCCGGGCCGCACGCCGCCTGTGTGGGTGTTAAAGCCACCGTGCAACCATTGATGCTCGTGTGACCTCCGATATCAGCACAGGGAGGACTACTGTCACCTTACTCAAGGAGCAGTAAGTGTAACATGACAACCGCCAAACAAAAATTAGTGCCAAAAGAGCTTTACCCCAAAACTCACGTACTAGGTGGAAACCTGAGCACGCTTCAAGTAGGGGCTGTCGGCCACAAGAGTTCCAGTAAGTACTTCAGATCTGGTTTACACAGAGCCACCTCCTATCAACCTTCTTTTAATTCATGTTGCACCACAGAAGTTACCTTAAAAGCAGAGAGATTGGTTTCTTCCATAGACTGAGTCAATAGCTTCACTTTTATCAGTGCACGATTGGTCAGTGTTTTATTCATTGCTGTATTCAACAGCACAAGTAAGATAATAAATTTGCATTGGGAGGGAATGAAAATGTAATGGTAGGTTCATCAGTTCCATCTGTGTTTGTGATCTAAATAATAAAAGAACGTCTTTCTTTCAAAATCCCTTTTGTTACTCCTCTGAGATTCATTTTAGATTAATCTTTTTTTTCTTTTCTCTTTTATTTCCAAAGGACATCCATTACCTTGCACTAGATAAGGGTGAATTGGCACTGGCTGAAGTGGCAAAGAAAAAGGCTAATGACATTGATGCCGAATCAATAACTACTAGAATTGGTAAGAATTAATGGTGTTTAAAAAGCCCTTTTTGTTTTAATCGATACCTGTCCTGTACAACACCGTGTTATATTTGTAGGGGGGTTATTGTTTCGATTGCGTTGTTTTCTCTGAAAGCAAGACAGTATTTTTATTCCTAACTAAAGAGGCAGGCTTGTAAGAATAACGTAGCTTTGCCTTTCAGTACCCACCTGAGGATTGTGTCAACGCAATAGCTACGAAGCAAAAAAGATTTATGCTATGGGTATATAGAAAAGTTCAGGCTGTACAAACTGAACTGAGTGCAAGAGGTAAGGGACTGAATCTGAAAATCTGTTCGTACCAGCGTTAACGGCCAGGTATGGCAATCTCATTCACCTCTAAATATTGGCTCGTGCACACTGTGCCGATAACTGGAGTCGCATCACGAATGCTTTGGCAGCGTTCGGATGAAACATTTACTGATGTGAACACAAGCTCAGATCCTGGCTTTAAAGTAACAGCTTTGCGTGCAGTGGGATTCTTGCCGTTCCATAAGGAACATCAATGCAAAAATTGCAGGGTTAGACTAGTGGCTCAAACACGGACAACTTTTCAGGCAGGGGAAGTCATAACTCACTCGCTTTCTCCTTGTGTTTCCTCTGAATTGTCATGAAGAGATGTCTGCAAACACGTAGACCGTTCTGATTTCGGGCCTATAGCATGAACCAAGCAGAAGGGGTCTCAGTCTGGGTGGCTGCCCCCCTGCAGAGAGAAAGTAAGCAAAGAGAAAAAAAAGAGCACAAAATGTTTGTATAAAATATGCACAGTGCTGTTTTGATTATTCTACTGCATCTTTGAATACTAGAGGAAATCACTGAGCTTTTGTCCTTGTCCCAGGCCCAGAAGTAGAATATAATCAAGACACAGAAGGAGTCACCAAACCTTTGAGATCTTGGGTAACATAGGATTCTTTTAGAACTGTCCATCTTGGTGTTTACCCACAGCATACAAGCAAATGCCATTCAAATATACAGAAGTGCAGAGAGGCAGTATGTGCGTTTATGTGGCTATTTCTAGATGTTGTATAAATCCATGACTTTCAAGGCTATGCAGTACAGTATCACCTCCTTCCGTCTCCAGCAGAGTAGAAATCAAGCAGTGCCGATCCTGAACTCTTTTCTTTAGGGTCTTTCATTTTCAAGCTTAAGTCACTTCAAGCATTTTTTGCACCACCACTGGGCCTTTGGGCAAGCCCTTTCAGAACTAGAATTGCCAAAAATTACGTTTGTTTAGGTCATCTGTTACTGGGCACTCTTCAAAGTGTACAGTGACATCTCCCTTGCTTTCTGTTCTCTTACTTCTTAGGTAGTGGTCCTCTGCACCTAATAGAACTAAGATACCTAAGGCTTGTATCTGATCACTAGGCGTTCTCTTACACTTAATCCAGAAAATCTAAGCCTTAATCTGTGTCTTCATTTAATTCCTTGCAAACTATTGCTCTTACTAGATCTCTGAAGTTAGGCTATCTTTAAGTTTACTGAGAGCCTTTTGTAGTGTTGTAAAGATAGGTGCAAAGAGAGGGGTAGGGAAGAAACCCGAGGTGATCACAAATGTCTGTCTTGGATACCAGATGTAATACGCGTGTTACCACAGTTCAGTTATCAATGTGCAGGCACAGAGTCTTCCCCTCCCTCAGAGCAGTCCTACAGCTACCTCTGTAATGCCCCGTAAGCATAAATTATTAAAGTCATTTTATATGATAAAGTCTTTAAAGTGTTCTTATTTGCTGAATAATTAACTATCAGGATGATGTCAAATACTTTTCAATGCCCCTGGGACAAACTGTCACTGAGCTTCAGTCTATAAGCAGTAATGAGTTTGCATCCAATTAATTTTATATGAAAATAAGCAGGAATCTCCCGTGAGTTTGTTTCACTGCAGATTAGATCTCACCTTAAACATGTGAAATCTCAGCCACAGGTTTTGTTTTATTATACTTTGTTCCAGTGTCCTTTCTTGATGATGTTTTTATTTCATAAACCGTTGTTAGCAAAAAAGGTATCATGAGGCATGAACTTTGTGGACCCAGTGGAAACAAAAGATAACAAGTGCTTTATGTGTGAATTACTGTGTTTAACATTTTGAGAGGGGAGGAAAAAACTCATGCCAGAGCCAGAAGCTTTGAAATGCAGTTTCAAACAAGTCTCTGTCCCCTAACTGTCTCCTAAGCCCAGTCCTCTTCATCTAGTCCCTGTTCCCTGAGACTTTCAGCCGCTCGGTTGCCCAGTGGTGACACTTCCCAGATCAACCCCCAAACTTCTGGAGCAACCGCTTCAGGCTTCTACAAGAAGGCAGCAACCCAAGCAAACAGAGGCAGCAAGGTGCAATCACTGCTAGTGATCCCAAGTTATACTGAACATCTCTAGATAATATCTGGCCTCTCTACAGCGTATTTCGTATATATGTTACAGTATAATATTTGGTCCTAAATACTACTAATGTGAACCGTTCTCGTATATCAACATCTGATGATATTTCCTGAGCAAGCCCGTCCCCAAAACTCGGCTCAACACTACTTGAAAACAACATGAGTCAGTGCTCCTGGCTGATTCCCAAGCCCTTGAGAGCACTCCATCTAGCCCCAGAAATGTTTAATTTGTCAAGATATTTCTGTGTACAGGGCTCACTTCAAACATAATATATTTCAAACTCAGACTTTGGGAAAAGTTTCAGGTTCCTACAAATAATGTAGAATGACAACAGAATTTCACCTGAAATTTAAAGATGTCATCCAGAGTTCTGTAATCATTGGTAGATTCCTCACATATATCAAGATTTGTGTCAAGAAAAAAACAAAAATAGATTGATTATTTTAAAATGTTCTGAACTTTAGCTCTTCTGGGTTTGTCACATGGTTATGGTTTGCTATACACTGTTTTGAAGAAGCCACCCTCAAAGCTAAGAATGTCTGGGTGCACGTGGTAAAAACACAGGTAGACCTTCAGAGCGTAGTAGCTTGATGAGGATATTGCTGAGCAAGATGAAGCGTCAAGTGAGCTTGCTGCTATTCCCTGCTATGGTTTTGGCAAAGTCAGATATTTTGTTCAACTGATTAAAATCTTCTAAAGAAAATTATTCTCATATGATTTTATGTTTGACTGCCTGTGAAAATGCATCTTGAGGCATGCGAAGATTGAAGTAAGGGTACTGTACATCTCAGAGACGGCATTAGCTGTCTCTCTCTTTCCCCACTCCCATTTGATCAGCAGACCAGTGGCCATAGATATTGTGATTTCCTCTGCCAAGTATTTAATTAGTTCTGTAGTAGATCTACGAGTTCCCTAACGAGGTCAGGGCGTTCTCATTTAGCCTTGCCTAAAATGTATGCTGTGCCCCTAATTTCCCTTGATTAAAAGAGAGAGGACTTTCTTCAATATTGACAATGTTTGTAGGTTACTAAAAAATTTCTGTTTATGGGTGTAACCTCGCATATACGCTCCTGGAACAATATTGTCCGTGGTGGAAGAGTGCATCTGTTCAGTGCTGTGAACTGTAGGTTGCTAATGTAAAACTTGAGTTGCAAAGAACTGACATGGCACAGCCTGTTAAGAAATGCCGCAACTAATAATGCTCACGGAGGTGAAGGACTCAGCCTTTCAGACATCATTGCTCAATGAATATCCAACGAAGAGCATATGTAGTCAGTGTCAGAAAGTTTCCCAAGGCCAACTTCCAACAAATTACATTAGGGCCTCGCAAGGTGATTTTAACCTTCAAATCGATAGCTTTCACCCAAAAGGGATTCGTGTTGTGACAAGACAGGTAACTGCTGCATAGTTGAAAGGCAAATTGGGAAGCCTTGTATTTCTACTTAGAATTAAACACAGAATATTAGTAACACTAAATGTTTAGGCAACATTTCTAACAGAGGTATCTTACTAAAAACACTGCTGTTGAGGTAATTGCGTTGTTCTGAAATGCTGGATGGGACTGGCTAACATTTTGGTGGTTCAGTAATGTTTCATGAAAGCGCTTGAGCTTTTTCCGCTTAAAATAGAATTTTAAAACATTTCTGGAAGTATTCCGTAATGTTCGCAAGTGAGACAGGAATTCTTATCAGTTCTCACAAAGACTGAGGTCCGATTTCCCACACTGTTCATAAAATGACATTCAAAATGTAGGGGCCCTAAATGTCTCACCCTACTGGCAAGGAATGTCACCAGTTTGAACCTTAAGTGGAAGATTTATGAATTTCTTCTTATTTCTGTGATGGCATTTTACACTGAATGGCTTACATGTTCTTTGTGATCATTAATAATGACACGTGCTGTAGCGTTTTGTCTTCCATACAGTGTGTCTGAGATAACAGTCTGGTCTTGCACACAGTCTGCTACCTCCAAACTGCTTGTTATTTACTCAGATCTTCCCCTATTCCTGACGGTCTTGGCGAGCATCCTTCCATTTTAAGACCACGTTTAGAATTGTTCCCCTATTTTTGTAACCTTCTCTGGCCCTGCCTTAGCCTAGTTGATAACATTTGTTCCTCTTCTGATCCATAATGATGGATTGCATCTATCAAGCAATAGACCTCATGTACCCTCTCTGATGCTGATGACAAAGCCTTCTTCGCTTCCTACTCTTCCCTGGCACACGTGTCTTTCTCTTGCTATCAAGTTCCAAGTTAACTGAGAATCTTAGCCTTTTATTTCATGGCATGATTTTTATTTCACTGCGTAACCTGTTTATGGCATGCTTCAAAGGTATTATCCAATACACAGGTGAACTGTGATCTGGAAAGACTCGGGGGACACCTGTTTATGCTACAGTTTATTGGAGCTCTGCTCCCTTCACTGTAAGTGTTAGATCTCCTATTTATTTATTTAGATTTTCAGTTTAAGTCAATCAAAACCTCTGGAATCAAATCCTTTGCTTTTATTTTTCTAATAATGTGACTTTTCCCCCAGAGAGTAAGGAAAACATTTTTAATGAAAAATGTTTTTTAAGTATGATTGGCAGTTAACCTATGGCAAGAAATTAGTTTCCACAGGTACTTTCTTAATTTCGTACCACACCAGATGAGTGTCTTTGAAGATCCTTAGTAGTTTGAAATGATTTAACTGTGCTCATGTGTACACTCTCTTGCACTTATCAAGCCACGAGCAGCGTTTGATACAGAGCACGCTAAACACAATGAAAAGATTTCCACCACCTTCGGTGGGCTTGGGATGGGGATTTTAGCAAGTAACAAGCTCATGTGTGGGCCTGGAATTACCAGAACTCCTGCCCTCTGCAAAAAAAAAAACAACAGACAGCGTGGTCTGGAAGGATGCTCTACCTGGTGCGGACTGCTCGAGTCCCCTGGTTTCAAGAGGAGCTGGTGGCACCCCGCGCCACGTCTGTGGCGTGGAACCCTCTTGCAGTGGTAGTTCTCAGTTCACGGCCTGGCATAGCTGCCTCGTTGGGAGTGTAACAATATTTTCCTGTATAACTAAGTGGATCTGCTGAATCTTCTTCTTTATTCTAACGTTTAGCTTTTTGTTAATTACGTTTTAAATTTTCCAACTAGTAGTGAGGATTTTACTCTATTGAGAGGTTACAGGCACTAATTGCTCCCCTCCTTGTGTTCTTTTCAAGAAGTGGGGTCGTTTGTTTTGCTTAAGGTCTATAGTAATGCCAAACTATTTTTGGCTCCACCTCATCTCACCTCTCCGCTTGCTTGTGTCATGATGTCAGTTTTGATCTATACCTTCCCACTGCTAGACAGCTTTGCCTAAAGACATAATCCTCAGCCCCTAATAATTATAAGTACATCAAAGGCTAGCTGGTTTGCTTAGCTGCAGAGGTCTACACAAAGATCGGTGTATCTTCACTTGAAAGAGATTTATCATTTTCTGTCAAGTTTAGAATAATCATGGCATTCCATTTTTTTCCCTTCTTTATCGTGGCATGTTCTTGCCCATTACAGAACCTGATTTAAAAAACACCACTATGTGCCTGAAATGAAGACACTATTCTCCTTAATATTTTAATTTTAGTGATCCTCATATTTTCTAATATCTGTCAGCAATAAAATTATGCCCTATTTACTATAAAAAAGTCTTACCAAGAAGTCGTAGATTAACCAACTTTTGCCTTCATTTTAAATGATCTGTTGAGTAGAAAAAAAAAAAGAAAAATCAGTAACTGGAAGAGCCCGCTTTAGGGAGTTAAATTTTTTGTATCTGTAGCTATGTACTGCGACCGGTTTATAAACAAAGAAATTATGGTATTTCCAAATTCTGGAAACGGAAAGGAGCTGTCTGTGTCTGATCGGATGTATTCTACTAACAATTAGGTTGTTGCAAGGTACGTGAGGTCTCTCATCTCAGATCTCTTCAGTATATTTCCATCTTATCCCTATAGCCTCCAGCAAAGTTGATGCACATAGACAATAGAGAATAGATGACACCAATTACCAGGTAAACAACTTATTTTCTGCGGCAACATATCAAGAAGTAAGTTACAAAAATGAAAACAGTTCACAGAGATATTCCTTGGGTGAGGATGTTACATGATAAAGAACAGTTAAGCGTAAAGGATCTCAAAGGGATGCCCATGGCATGGCATTGAAGTAGAGAGAAGCGAGTCAGTACTCAAGTAGCCATTGACATTATAGCTAGGAATTTAAGTAGGAATTTGACTTCTCAGCACCGACTCCATAGACTGAAGTCAATTTAAATAAAAAGCACACGTAGTTAAAATAACTGTTGAAACAAACTATCAAAGAAATTGATGGATGGAAAGTGTCTTTGCATGGAGTCTAAATGAATACCTTTCTGGGAAATAGGTTTTAGCCAAATACAATTTATGCATTAGTCAAACACAAGTTTTTCTGGCTCGGTGTAGGATACCTGGATGAAATTTAATGGCCTCTAATTCACTGTAGGTCAAACTAGATGATTTACATTATATCATTATAGTATAATATTCATATGTTCTGGATTCCAGTCTTGCCTACAGCTCTGTGAAAAAGCCCCTGGTAAATCTCCCATTAGCTTCAAAAGGCCCACATGTAGGCTAAAAGGCTGCAGTTAAAAGCCACATAATGTATATTCACACATCTCATAGTATGCACGTGTGTGTGTGTGTACATAAGTGGGTGTTATATTTACACATACACAGCCAAAATCTGGCCAGTCATAAAAATAGCTCCAAACCTGAACACAGGCACTAGATTAATTATTACGTATTTATGTTTTGCTTCATGACATCAGCAGCCGCAGAATCCGCTGCTGCTTTTTTTCTGAAAGAACGAGAAATAATCACAGCGGGAGGCGCTTTCATAATTGCTGTAGCTGGCTGAGCGCTGCGTCTCTGGAAGTTCACGGTGTGTCAGAGGCGTGTTTGTCTCGCACACCCTAGAGCCATCCCTGAGCCTCTAGTTTTCCGATAGGGAATTCGCCGATTGCATTTCTACACGCCAAAAAGAGTTGGCAAACGCATATTTGCATGGCAGTTGGTATGTGTTTTGTCCTGTTTGCTCTGCATAACGTAACGTGATGTGACAGGCTGCAATTCATCACATCAGTGGCATGACAGCAGAGGAATTGGAAAAGGGGCGTAATGGTGGGCTGATGCGAGGTGGCCATTTAACGTTCGATTGCAATATTTCAACATTAAGTCTTTTTATAATGGCCTACTGAAGAATTATCACCAAATATTCCCCATGCGGGTGAGTTTTAGAAGTAATGCTCAGATATAGCATAGGCAACATCAGGAGAAGGCTGTAGGTTCCTGCGCTCATAAGGACCAACTCTTGGGAATATGAGAATCTTTGCACATCTGGTTTCTGATCGCACAAACAAACAAAAACGTTGAAGGACTATTTATTTATTGCCTCCTCTTTCACTGCACTCCCCAGCCACGCCACAGGCCCTTAAGTTGGGATACCGTGGAATTGCTCATGGCAAAATCAGAGGTTGAGGCTGTTTTCCTCCAAAGACTCCTGCACAGGAGACTGCTTGACAGTTCACCCCTGAAAAACTCCCGCAACAAAAGCAAAGGTGTTTGATGACCTGATGTTAGTTCTTGTTGAACGCTTTTAGCCTAACAAAACCAAGTTCCCTGTTAAAGTCCTGTCTCGGGGCTGGTGATATTCTAATCAGGATATCGCTGGTGGAAGCCATAGGGAGAAGCTCAGCGGGGCCCGAGAGTAAGCTTCGCACCCATCGCTGTTGTCAGTCTTGCACTTTCTGAAGTGCCAAACTTGGCCAGAAGAAGAAAAGAAATGGGCTGTTTAAGAAAAAGCGTTGGTGAAAAACTGATCAACAGTGCCTAATGCAAGGCAGTAAGTACATCCAGAATTGATGACTTTTTCCTTGCCTCAACATACACGCTGTGTTTCATTTCAGCTATTTGCAATATCTTTTCCCTAAACATCCTTCCTGTTGGTTAGTCTGCACCGAGACTTCTTTTTTACTTTAAAATCTCAGTGCCATGAGACTGCTGCAGCTCCTGAACTCATGCATGAATAATATCTGCCCTTCAATAATATTTTTCATGGCATTCAAGATACCAAAAGTCCTAAATCATCCTAGATGTCAAACTGTAAAATTCAGTCTTAAAAATAGACTGTGAGGCAGCATTGCTTATCTCTGCAAGGCTGATATTATGAAATGGCAAAATATTATGTTATGATGAAAAGATCTCATTAGTAATAGCTTATAAGCATGTATGGTGATCATTGTAATTAGTTGCTTACTGCAGGTACGCTGCTAGTGTCCCACCTTTTCATCTTTATGATAACCAAAGGAGCAACAGCCGCTTGATTTCTGCCTCCTGCCCTCCCAGCCCCGGGCCTTCCCCGGGAGCTCGGGCTCCCTGGCACCCCTGTCCCTGCATCTCCTCTGCATCTCCTCTGCCCTCTGGGAAGGCACAGCTTTCCCCCTCGCTCCTCGCCTGTATTTACAGTGATGCCTTTCCAATGTGTCTGCAAGGCTGCGTGTGATGCCGGGAGGGAGCCTTGCCGTGCCTGACCCCACAGCCCTGTCCGGATGGTGCTCAGCGCTCAGCCCGACGTCTGGTCAGGACGCAGTGGCAGGAGTTACAAGGACTTTCTCGCTGTCCTTCACCAGGGATGGCTCTGAGCGTCGCTTTGAGTCCTTGCATGCCGCAAGATCGGTAAAAAGTCTGGGTATGGTCCTCACGTAAACTGGACCCCATGGATTAACCACTGAACTGATAGTTTAAAAATTTTCACTGTAAAGGAGCACAGAAGACAATATTCTTTCCTGTAGGATTATGTTAAAAACCTATGCATGACTTTAGTTTTTTCGAAAATATGACCTTGTTTCATAACATCTGCTAGCCTATATTTTTTACTATGTGTAACCTACCTTCTGCTACATCTGGCTATGGTTACTCCTATGCCTCTGCTAAATTTAGTCATTTCCTTTGCTAATGTTCTTACTGCTGAAAATCCCCCCCGGAGATATCCAAACAGGCCTGAAGTGCACCAGGTGAAGAGCAGGTTCTGGGGCCGTCGCAGAGACCTTGCCGAACAACCCCAGGACTTGATCTTACGCCACCGGGAAGCGTTGCTGCTCGTGAACCGTCGGGAGCCTTACGGGAGCTCACCCTCTGACTGCGCCGCCTAAGCCACGGGAGGAAGGATTTGGGACCGGGTCTAAACTTCTCCTGAGTCATCATTTGAAGTTCATTGCTAAATTTCACCACACCTCTGCCTAAAGAATACAAACTTTTATTAACCAGATGAAAGACTCTGGCTACGATTAATTATTTATTTTACTACGTAGGATGCGTTGTGGCCAAAGAGAAACAGCCACAAAGTGCTTACCTTAGGCCCTGGCTTTTAGCCACCAAACGGCGAGGTGTTTGGCTCCCGGCCGCGGGTAGGGAGCCCGCGTGGGCACAGTCTGATTGCCCTGTGACTGCGCTGCTCCTGCCTCCTACCTATGTCGGGGAAGAATTAGGACCACAGCACTCCACTCTGATCCCTGTGATAAGCAGCGTTTTAACAGTAAAACATTCTGGAAAATTTCCTGATTTCCTCAAAAATTCCTGAAGGAAGCATGAGCTTTGGTCAATGCCTTATTTTCATATATTCTTATCAAGTACGCTGTGCCAGCCTGTTCCCTTGCGTGGCCGAGAGCTTTGCTGCCCACTCGTCGGGGTCGGGAACAAGACGGCAGGTGAGGGACTGGATGAAATTGGACCTTCCCAGCCATCGCCAACCCACTGGGTGACTTTGGCCAGCTCATTTTAGCCTCCAGCGCTTTTGTTCTCCTTTGGGGACCGCGTGAGCTCCCTGTAGGAGACTGCCCATCCTTTCGGCAGCACCCGAGTCCCCCACCGCAACCCCTCGCCCTCGTCGCACGTCTTCGGCGCAGAGCTCGCCGGCGTCGCGTTGCCAGCGCTGCCGTCCCAGAGCTTAACCGCACAGGCAGGTGAAGTCCCTTTTCAAAGCTCACTTGTTTTCTATAATTCGAAGGAATTTTTACAACATAGGGTAAAAAAGAAAAAAAATCAGCGGTGATAGTCTAGTTCCTATCTGCCATTAGGTGTCAGTGTGACAACAACCATGATACACAAAGGCTACTCCGGGGCGTGCGGGGATACCACCCCATCCTGACCTCATTTTCGACTCCGGGAAAATACAATATACAACGGAGAGGAAGGAGAAGGTTGAAGAAAGCGAGAAACCGTTTATTTCAGGTTTTTTTCCGTCACCTAATTGGAGTGAGTTACTAACAGATAAGTCTGTTTGCATTTCATTCCGTGTGTCTCGGGTTCCCGGTGCTGCCAAGGTGTGAGATTTACAGAGCGGGGACAAGAGCTTCTGCACACACGGATCTGACACCCGATTTGGGGGCAAAACAAACAGTCAGTACTATTAGTAATTTGCAGTCCGCAGGAGGTAAACTACTTTGCCCATATGCAGATGTTAAATTACTCGCCTAAGTTGGTGCCTGCCGATGTTGGTGCTCATAGACGGGTCCTGCACGAGTTGTCTGAAATACTGTATTAGAAAAACAACTAAAAGTTCCACTCGTTCAGAAGAAAAGGATATAAAACCTCAAAACCTAGTTTTAAAGCAAGTATTTCAGTGTCTGAAATACTGCCTTATTTTGGGGTATCAGTGGTATGCGTGATGAAGAAATAGTAAAGATATGATATATATTAAGGATTTTGTAATTGTTTTTGAACAAAGTTTCAGGCACTTCCCAAAGTGAGATGGTAAAGGTAGCAAAGAGTTTTGGGTTACATGGGAGTTTTGAAAGTTAGTACAGTTTTAAAATAAAAACCAGTTTTGGGGGAAAAAATATTTTCAGAAGAAAATTATTTTAAAAAAATATTCTCCAGTTGCCTCTAGTATTGGGAATACTTCAAGTACTTGTAGGATAGCATTTTTTTTTGCCTTATGTTTGGAACTGGAAATGTTTCCACCATTAACTTTAATCAGATTTCGATAGGTCGACGTAATGGCTAAATCGGCTTGGCCTTCACCAGGATCAGAGAATCTGTTGTGCAAAAAAGAACATTTGGAGTCAACTTTGCCTTCCCCTTTTCTCCTTTGAGATTGTGAGCATCGCTTAAATTTGGTGGTGGGTGGGTTTTTTTTTCATGTTGATAGATTAAATCTTGAGTAGCACCATGCCACTGTGATAAGCATCTGAGCATGCTGGCTTTTCTTCTAGCTAACTGCAGTTTTCCAGTAACTGCGTGAAAGAGGAGTGGTTAGTCCTGAGGATGCACTGCGCGTCCCGGTGTAATCCTGGCCAAGGCAGGGGTCCTCGAGCGCCGTCTCTGCTCCTGATCCCCGGGCTGGATAGCTGCAGTTCTCTTTAGGAGAGCAAAGACTTCCCAAATTTGGTAGCCCTGTCCCGCTTCAGGTTAGGAGTGGGGAAAGAAAACTCTCATGTGCCAATTTGACCTTGTCTTTATAATAGATAATTATAGGCATCAGGAATAGAAAAGCTGCCCGATTAAATGGCTCCAGCCACCTGCTAATGCAAGATTGTGAAGTAATCCTTGACCATTTTCATATTAAGAGTTGCCACGATGGTGTTCTTCCACTCCTTGTGCTACTCAGCTTGTCCAGAAAGCTGTCTCCTCTACTTCAGTTTGCTCGCATCCTAACTCTCTTTTGCTTTGTACTATTTTATATAGCAGTGGTTAAACCTTTCTTTATACTGGCACTGGTGGGGGCTTGAAAGTTCCTGCTGTCCTACGCATCTATTTTGACTTCAGAAGGACAAATTGAAGAGCTCCTTATTTTTCCGTGCGGTTTCAGGCCAGGTGGTGGTTCTTGTTTGTGGTACAGAGGGAGCAGATGAAAATGCTGGCTGGGCTAGCAGCTCGAGATGGCCCCAGCGCCGGCCATCGCGGCCGGCT